ACATCAAACAGGAGGCTTATCCGAGTCGCGCAGGCAGCAGCTGGGGGACCTCGTCTGTGAACTATGACTGCCAGCACATCAAAACCAGGCACTCATCATTTGTAAATAAATAGAGATATGGGCCAGGACCTTCCTGTCATTACAATAACAATATACGGGAAGAGGAATGTGGAGATAAAAAAAACTAATGAGGAAGAAACTAAAGATTTAAATAAATAAATACTTAAATAAATAAGTAATAAATAAAGAGTACGATGAGATGAACAATGAAATGTAGAATGAAAGCTGTGATGCATCTAATTTGATATGTTACTCATGTTTGTGTTCAGCAATTGAGCATGTTCAATTCAACAAGGACCTCATTATTTGCCCTTTGACCCCTTGTCTGGGGGAGGGGTCACTGAGAAGGAGAGGCTGGCTGGCCTTGAAAGCGATATTGTGTGTCACTGCACGGAGCCTCACCAGAGCAAACGCACAAGTTCCTCACCTGTAGCAGGGGGCTGGTGGGAAGAGAGACCCGGCAAATCCAGAGAGCTGTCTGACATCACGTGCTTCAGGTCTCCTCCCATGTCCGACAGCTTCATGTCCAGCTGCACTGACAGCGCGTCCTCAGAGTCGTCCTTTCCCACGCTGCTCCCGCCGATGGACGGGAGGTCGAGGGACTTTACAGATGCAGAGTCTTCCTTGGCCTGTTTGAACGCGGCCACCTTGTCACCCAGAGTCTTTTCAGAAGCACCGAGTGCTGTGCAGAACTTCGAGGACTGAAATTCGGCAAAGTCGTCGTTGTCGCTCTTGAGTGACGAGAAGGAGCCGGCGCCGCTCTCCTTGGTGTCATCGTAGGCGAGGCCTCCTTCCAGAGAAAGTTGTTTGAATATGTCGTATTTGTCAGAGCTCTGCTGAGACCGCTGCTGTGTGGAGGTTTCCCCTTGAACACCCGCGCTGCTCTCGCCTTTAGGCTCTCCACCAGAGCTGCCAAATGCCATGAAGTCTGCAAAGTCATCCTGAGGTGCTGAGGCAGCTCCTCCTGCGGCTGAAGCTTGAGTGGAGTCAGAAGAGGAGCCAAAGAGGGCAAAATCCCCAAACTCATCTGCCCCTCCTCCCGGAGGTTTTGCTCCACCTGGCAGGAGGACGAGAGAGGGGGGCACAGACACAGAAGGGAATGTGCTGGGTTTTGTCTCAGTGGGGGCAGGAACAGAGGGCGCTATAGAAGAGAAAAGGTCCAGGTCAGCCATGTTGAGAGGATTTTTGGGCTGAGAAAGAGACACTGCTGGCTGTTGCTGGGGAAGCTGCTGTAGTGACTGAGAGTTTGGAAAAGCAGAGGGGAAGGAAGGTTGAAAGAGCTTGGCTTGATCTGGAGGGTCTAGTGGAGAGACGCTGTCGGCTGTTTTAAAGTCTGTGAAGCCATCATCGACTGTGCCGACAGACTTGAAATCTGCAAATCCTTCTCCTGTAAACCAAAGAGAAGAATTTAAGATTAGTAAAAAAACAACAGAGCGATATAAAGGGGCCAAAAGGTCTCAGCTGCAACAGCTACCATTCAGTTATTTTACAATCCTAAAAGAGAGAGGAATGGTGCATTAGTTACTCCTTTGCTCCACTGGTGAACTTTGGGCTGCAGTGTGCAAAGAAGATCATACATCACTGCACAAAAAGCTCTCCATACACTATCACTCAAAAGTTTAGGGCTGGGTTTTTTATTTAAAGAAATACTTCCTACATCATATAACTTTTAATGGAATTTCTACAAAATGAATCCTCAATCAACTTTACTTTACTAAAAACAAATGTGCTTTTCTTTCAAATGACCCCAAACTAATGAGAAATGGTGCATGTACATCGACACTACCAAACAAGGAACTGTTGATTATAGTCATTCTGCAAAAATTACCATCCAACACGTCATTTTTGTCTACAATATCCAATATCTTCCAGGGAAGTAGACGAGGCCAAATGGTTTCCAGTGTAATTTCTGTATTTTAGGTTTATATTTTATAGCATCAAATATCTTTAGGCAATGATAGTTTACACCTGAGTTTAGTGGCTGTGTTTATCACAGACTTTTATGCAAATGTCTGAAGTTTTCTGATGAGAGTCTGAACCTGACAGAAAATGCTATTTATGACAAAACAGCTTAGAAAAAGACAGATATGACTTGTTATCAGGAAACAATATTACATCCACAGAATCCTGATGAAGTTGTTAGCTAAAAGTAAAAAAGCTAGAACAAACTATTATCATTTTCTGCAGATAACTGTGATGGGTATTTATAGCAGTGGGAAAACTTTTGCCTCTTTTTTACAAAAACCACACAGAAAAAAGTCAGAATAAATTCTCAAGTTTTCAGCAGTTGTTAATCCTGTGGAGTAACGTATGCATGCTGAAATAGAGAATCTGTTCACACCGCTGGTGTACGGTGGAAGAGCGATAACTAATGGGCTCATTAAGGAGATGGAGCCTGACAATGCCAAAGAAAGGTCACTGCAAAGCATGACTTACTGGAGTTGTAAGAGGTGTCCCCATCGGAAACTGTTCTAATGAAACAGGGATGGGAAACACACTGGGTATCAACGCTGCAGGCTTGCAATACAAGACACAGTGTAAACATGGCTCTGTGGTAGTGTGGTGACCTGACAGCTTTGTCCAAGTTATAATACACAGTTTAATTAGAGAACATAAAAAGAAACCATTTGTTTCCTGGGGATGATGTGATGTTCATAAAGTTCATCTCTTAGTTCTCTACGTCACTGCCTAAAGAGGTCAAAAAGCAAGGATGTGCTAATATGTACATTAGGTGAACGTGTGTTGTTTTTTTTCACAGAGAGATCGAGATGTGTGGGTCTCTTACCGACTGATTTCTTCTCCGCGGGTTGTTCGAGTTGTCTGAATACACTGTATTTGTCTCCAATATCTGGATCAGAGCAAATAAAGAAGAATTGGTAACTATAAAGAGCAATATGAAAGAAATTTACTCTCCCTGTATCGTTCAAGGGCCAAAACTTAGTTTGTGAACTGAACGTGTCCTTATGTAAGCTGCTTTAACCTTCAGGGATCAATTTCGTATTTTAGATGTAATAAAAGGGCTCGACATGATGAAATACCTGGAAATGTCATGTTATCACTTTCTGCTTTTAATGAATCCTTGCCAGTTATCTACACAGGAAGGAAAGGAACGTGCTGTTCCCCATGCTGCTGTGATGATAATATTGTTTCCTTCTCTGACTGACTTTATGTTTTGGTCCCAGTATGTACCCCCAAGAGGACTAACACTATTACATGAGGTATCCAACGTACCTGAGGCAGGGGGTGTAGGCTCTGCAGGCTGATCCACAGACAGCTGCTTGAACACGGCGTACTTATCAGAAGATGTAACGGAGGCGGAGGAGGAACCAGACACTGGAGTCAGCAAGGCAGGCGTGCTGCAGGGACACAAAAGCGAATCGTCAGACATCATGATGGGCGAAGTTCAAAGGTAAAGTTTAATCCCTATAAGCTGCCTGAGCTGAACGTTTGCCCTGGGTTCACAATTTGGAGAGAAACAGCTTGTTTGTTTTTTTTTTCTTTTGTTACAAGCTCTTGGTGTCCTTTCATCCATTAAGGCCACTGAACAGGCAGAAGGTAGCTCTGCTTAGGAATAAAAATACACGCCCACTGTCTCACATCCAGCTCACCAACAAAAGTATTTATATCTTGTTTTACTAATTCGGACAAAATGTACTGGACTGCGTGTTAGCAGCACATGTTTGGAATGCCCCAAAGAACAAGCAGCTGATCCAAGCAGAGTGTAAATAAGTAATCCGTGGCCTGTTGTAACACTAGAGCAACATTACTTTTAAATAGCTCTGTTATATTAAAAAAATATAGTGATATACCAGTTTTTAAAAATTGCCAAATATTCGTACTGGTCTTAAAAATCCTATATTGATTTAGGTCTAAAAAAAGATTTTGATAATACTTCTTTTACTGTCTCTTAATATTCAGGCTATTCAGTAGCGAGCTAGTTTTGTTTAGCGTGAGACGTGAACACCTTCCAGCCCCTTTGATACATGTTAATTACCACTTTATATTTAATTTCATTTAGAGGGTTTGTGCTGTCCTGCACCCACTGAAGACTCCAGGACGTTAACAGTCCAACCTGAGATGCATGATCAACCACTGAAACCCAAAACATATTTTTACACCTCAGTTTTTTGCACAGACTGGTTTATTTGCGAGCTTAAGAGCTGCTGCTGACAGACTTCAGTCAACTGATGAAAGAGCCAGTCCAAGAAAGTGGCTTCAGTCTTCTCAACACAACAGAAAACTAACCAGCATAATCCCAAAATGCCAAACTATTCCTGAAAGTGAAGGATGCTTTAATACAGGCCAAAAGCAAGAAATATGATGACCATTATGCCTGATCATATGTTAAAACAGACAAATCAGGGGCTTAGGGAAATTGTTAAACTCAGTGAATATTAGTTTCCTCAAAGCGCTTTTTCTGTAAGACATCCGACAGTAAGTTATGGGTGCCAGTTCAGGCTGGCAGCCCAATATGAGCTGTTCAGCCTCTCATTTAATTAGAAAGCAATCTCAGTCTGCGGGGAATTCTTGTTACATTGATGAAACCGTCAGGACTGGATTTTTTCAGTTGCGAAATAGGAGAGAATCATAAAACGCCTATGCCACTTAGATTTCAGATACTTTAATTCTGCTTTCTCTTTGTCTTTCAGTGGATAATTGCCTTTCAGCTTCCTCTCACTGAAGGCACGGTTGCTCCAGAAAGGCTCGGAAAGAAGTAATATAAAGAAACGAGCTTATCTACTGTCCACTGAAATGAATTCATTAGTAGATGACCCAAACTCATTCCTATTCAGAGGAGGTTATTACAAGATATTGAAACAGTGCCTCTGACTGTAAGACAGACAATGAGAAGTACAAATATTATGCAGGATGAGTCAGCTATAAATAATCATCTAGGGCTGAATATTTGATGCTCATCTCTGCAAATATTTACAGCACAGAGAGCAAAAGGAGAGAGAGCTAGAATAAGAAATACCCAATCTTATTTAATGTAGCTTATAATTAGGGTCACATAAGCTCTTAAAATGCTCCTAATTATACAAGCCTGGAAAAAAAGGCAGACTCACTGTCTTCATCAACAAGCCTGTACCTGTTTTGGTGCTGTGGTGCAATGGTAGTAGGGAAGCTTCCTCCCGATTCCCCCTGAAAGTCAGAGAAAGCTTGGTCTCCTCCTGCCTTTGGAGCTTCCTGGAAGTCCTGGAAGTCATCGTCATCGGCTTTGGTTCCCTACGCAAACATCATGTTGGAGAGTGAAGTGAGTGAGGTGATCGACAGCAGGAAAATAAGAAACTGAGCATACCTGTGATACCTGTGCTGGAGGGAAACTGGCAATGAAATTTGTGTTTGTGGGTGGCTGAGCCGGTGCTGCCGGTGTCATAGGCATGACTGGTGGCGGGGCTGCTGTGGGCATGGCCATGGAGACCGGGGGCTGGGTCATCATGGGCTGCTGGTGCTGAGGCATGACAGGGGCCATGGCCATAGCCAGAGCCGGCAGGTTCGGCACGGGAGGAGAAGGAAATTGGCCGAGGATTTCCACGTTCATTGCCGGGAGGCCACTCTGAAAGTAAGGACACGACAAACAATATTCAAGCGAAGCAGGTCCCCCTGAGCTCAGCTGTTGTGCAAAAGCATATTAAAACATGATGAAATCTTTGTCCTGCAGCTGCAAATATAATCAAAGCAGTCTTCAACAAACGCTTTGTGTGCAATGTTTGTCAAAGCAGTGATGCCCAGCGTTTTTGGAATCTACCTTAACTTTCTAAAAAATGGAGTTATGTATCTGTGACTGCAAAACAGCCTCAGGTTGAAAGCCACAGATAAGGTGAAGAAGTGAGTGAGAGTAAAAGAGTCAGTTTGAGTCTTTCCATGAGGACTGTTGACAATGACAAATACAAAACAAAGCCTGTAAGACGTTTCAAAGTTTCATTTGGCTGCATTTTTTTCTTCCTTTTTTTTGGGGGGGGGGGTAAATGCGTTAAATCACGAAAGGTATCAGGGCACACGGATCATTGTGAACCTATATAATTTAAAGCCCTTCTGTATTCACTGAACGTGGCCAAGGACTAACATTTATATATAAATTATTCAACACAATCCTTTTGAACAGATGTCACCAGCAGACTCAAACTTTCTTCCACCTCACAAGAGAATGCACCTTGTTTTGCTTGTGTTTTAAGCTTCTTGAAGATTTACATCACCAAAGGTGTCTTATTATTCCTCGCATGGAAGCGGAGGCATGCAGTGTTTCGTGAGCTGCCTGAAGATTTGCATCCTCCCAGGGGTGGTGGTGACAGGCCCGGGCTGAGAGTGATAAGAAGCCTCCTGCCAAACTTGGTTGATGGGGACTCAGCCATATATTGGACTTAGAACGCTTCACAGGCCGCGGGCTGAGTCACAGCACCGCTTCTTTTCTCTCCGTTTTGAACTAAGCCCAGCTAATTTCAGTGAGGAGTTTATGGCGAGGCTCTGCGGAAGCTGTGGGAGATGATTAGTGGAGTTGTTCTAAGTGGATAATTTGTTTTGACTTCAGTGATTACCTGCGCCACCCCAATTAGTGCAAGTACAGTGTAAAGTTCCTCCTTGGTCAGCATGCCAGGTGTTGTGCGGTTGGCTGATGCCCAGATTTGCCCGAGTGCTTCCCTGGGAAGACCTGATGACATTAATATCGGGTAGAGTTTGGCTGTGTCTATCCCTGCCGGAGTCATGGTGATTTCAAGAACCTTCTTGAACATTTCTGGGAAAAGAAAAACAAAACATTTTTGCAATTCGTGTCATTTCTTTCCGCAAAACACACAGCGATGTTGAATATCGTCGTCTGAAAATTAAACTGGATGTTTTTGAGAGTAAACGTTTACCTGGGACGAGGCTGTCGTTGTAAACCCAGGCGGGCAGCATGGTCTGAATGTGCTCTTGTTGTGGATACACACCAACACCTGCTGTCAGAAGCACAAGCACACAAATACACACACACACAGACACACAATTAGCTGTTGAAGCAAAAGTCTTGTCCAGGCTTACGATCTGCCAAGTCTCTTGGCAGCTGAGCCCTGCTCATATCGAACTCGACAAAATTATACACCTGATGTCTGGAAGGCTCGGTGCAGATGTAACGCTCCCCTGCACTGAATCACAAACGCCCTGCCACATCAGACATCTATAAATCAGTCTGTGAGTCATTTCCAGCTTCAAGGAGAGAGGAGAGAGGCAATTGCCTTGTAAGAAAAACTAACTAAAAATATAATTTAACTGCTGACATTGACCTAAATTATTCTTTTCTAGAAAACAGACAACCAGACATTTCAGTAAACTGCTATGGCTCATTTCGAGTCCCTGACACTCTGTCTGCAAGGCAGGTGTTTACTCAGACACCCACTTTGCACATAATACTTCCATCAGTCTTGAGCAGTTAAATGAATCTTATTACAAATCTCCCCTGGTCCCCGTGATGAGCCGCAATATTTCCCCTGATGACGCGGAGGACACGGACACAGACAAACAAATAACAGCACAAAGGAGTAGCAGAGTAGCATGCACAATCAGCCTTGGATTATGTTGGGCCCCAGTGGCACCTGCCAATCCATGCGCATCCCTGTTAAACCAAAGCAGTCAGCATGCGCCAGAGGTCGTTCTCTGAGAGGGTGTTACACAGTGAGTGAACAGACGGCGGCTTATTTAGTCAGCAGGTATCACCCAAGGACCTTGACAGACACAGTCCATTTCCACAGTCTGTGCAGGGAGCAGTGACATAAGAGAGCCCCGCTAACAAGACAGAGGTATAAAGCAGGAAGAAATAGGAGCAGAGATTTAGGAGACGATGGAAAGACACAAGGAAGGGCACCTCAAAGACATCGTCACCTCAGCAGCGAAGAAAACATCAACTTGATTTCATTTAACAGCACGCAGGCTACAACAGTAGGATGCCCAGTCCAGGATCTAGCATAAATCAATTATAACCCAAAGAGATAGAGGAGATTAAACTGCCAGAAGAGGGATACAATTATTTTGTCAGGGTTAGAAAGAATGAAAATATTTCTCAAGGACAGAAAGAGAACTACCACCCTGATTGTTTGTTAATGCTGCAAAGCAAGAGAGAAGCAGCAGCTATGAAGTCCAGTGAACGGGTACTTCTCTCACCACTGTCACTACTGGTTTGAGGAGATGTGCCAGCAGCTGATGGGGGGAGTTTGGGCGCTGGTACTGGGGCCTCTGGTGGCTTTTCTGTGACGAAGACACAGCTCAAGTCCTCGGTGGCCGCGGCCCAATTCCTCGCTTTAGTACTGGGCTGAAACTGGGCTGAAACTTTAGCTCTAGGAGTCATTTCAGCCAAACTCTGCTTGGACTTAAAGCTAACCTGCGCAGTCTTATCAGCTGTGAGATCACAGGAGGAGAACAGCTTCTCTTCCAGGGATGGGCCTAGAGGGGTGGATGAGGAACAAGCTTCTTTAACACATACTAGCAACAATGCACACTTAACGCATCTATTTATAGGCTCAATTTGCAAATGAAATTAGGGATGCTTTAGTAGATTTATGTTATAATTTAAAGATTTGTGTTTGAGATCTGATATGCAAGATAAGACTGAAGCAGTCAGTAGCAGTTATAAAAGGTTGCTAATCATGGTTCAGGCGTCTTGTAGCATTATTGTGCTCCTTTCCTGTAGCTGTTTTCAAACATAAACAGCTGACAATTTTGGAATACTTTCCACAGTTTTCCTTTTCTGCATGTAGCATACGGCAGGAAATAGTCCACCTCAAAAGCATTCGCACTACTAAACCACTACTGTGCTTTAGGTATGGGAGCCGTTGGGTAGATCATGCAGGTGGCAGGACACATAACTACTTAACAGGCATTAACTGAACTTAACTATTTGCAACCCAGTGCAATCCAACATCAACTAACTAATATCTGGGCCAACTTTGTTTGTCAATGTGTTCTCACATGCACACTCAGAATGGGTATGATGAATGCATGCATGCACACATGATTCCCTACTGCACTTATAACAAGCTGCAGTAACATGCCAAAATGTGCAGCAATACACCAACAAAGGCAGGGGAAAACATGCCTGCACAATTTTGAATACTGATTTTAACATTTAAATTCAATTAGTCTTTGCAAATGTTTTAGAAAGCAGGAATTCAATCAGCATGTCTTCTAAGAATTAAGGACAGTTTCTGGTGACTAAGACTGAACAGAAATGTAACTTTTGTTCCTCTAGAGAACTCCACAGGGCTTCTTTAAGAAGCTTTAAGAAGATTTACCCAAAAACCACACAAAATCCCACATACAAAAGCACACTAACAAATTCAGTGACAGATCTTTTTCTTGAGCTGATAACAGCAGGCACTTTAACCATTATTACAGTACAGTAAGAAAGTACAGCCTTTCTCAAGGGGTACCAATATATTCTTCTTTTTAACCAAACCTTTTAGAAATTGCGTAAGAAGCCAAGTATCAGATATTATTTAGTGTTATTTGTTGGAAATAAGATTTAAAAAAAGCAAATGAGATCATTTGTAAACAGCCCCCTAAACAGAAATGTTACCTGACTGAATTTCAACAAAGACACTGCAAGGTAAATTCCTCAGGTCTCTTAATATCAGAGGCAATCTATCTATCAGCCATCTAATCTGCTTATTCCAGATGCTAAACAATTAGGTCAGAGATGTCTCAGAGAATCAAGGATGACACTGGACGGAGGGTTGCTGAATTGCTCTGGACAGAAGGTGATCTCTGCACCCTGTCATTCACAGTCTGAGACTGAAAGCTGTCACAGAGCAGCTGCTCATCCCAGAGATTACAGGGCAAATGACAAATGACATGACAGTCCTCTACCAGTGCACAAATCATAAATTCACTATCAAAAGGAAACGCAACTACTGCATGGGGAAAAACCTACTGAGAAACAGTCATTTTCAACAGTATTCCTTATTTATTATGCATCCTTGTTTACCCTTTAGTGTTGAGTACTGAGGTCATCTGCTGGTCTAGCTAGATGCATGCTCTCACACATTAATGCAGGTCAAAACGAACCCATCATCCAGGGTTACCAGTAAAAGCATTCAGCATCAGTGATAAAAGAATCACTAATGTAAAAAATTCCTCCAAACTAGGTGGAAAAAAGGGCAAATTAGAGGGATGGGAGGGGGAGGTGTGAACAAAGCAAGAGAAGAGTTACCTTGAAATGCCGACTGGGTGCTGGTGCTGACAGCAGAGTGTTGGGTGTCAGTGTGAATGGACACAGAAGAGGGGAGGGATTGTGAGGGTGGAAAAGTCGATTGGACTTGCGACTGAGAGGAGAGGTGGAAGTTGGCAGAAGGGAAAGTGTTTACAGGTCCCTGAACAAAGTCACTAAACTCGTCATCGTCCTCAGAGAAACCTATGTTGGGGGCAGAGGATGAAGGCTGGGCCTGAGAGGAGAACCCGAAGCTGGAGGGAGTGGTGGTGAAGGAGGAAGAGGATGAGGAGGGGGGCAAAGGGAACGACGTGGGGGTATCGACGGGGCCCTGAAAGTCACTAAAGTCATCATTATCCTCAGACATAGCTGGGGGAAGGGAGGGAGCAGTGACAGACGGGTGTGATGGCGATGAGTCTGCAAAAATGAAGAAATAATGATGATGGCACAGCACATGACAAACACACTACAATGGAAGATGATTTCGGAGCTGCACAGTGCAAGAGTGAGATAATGACTTTTTGTGCAAGAGCAGAAATTGTAGATCTGCAAACTGAAGAACACTTAACTTATATTCAGATTTACTACATGTCGTTTAGATGGATTTCTGATAATTCACTTTCAAAACTGCAACATTTGTACAGATTCCAACAGCTGAAGCAGAAGTCTGCACCCAGGAGAAACTGATAAATCTATAAGGAGCCTTGAGATGATTGATGCAGGTTATAGTATTACAGAAATGAAACTTATACTCAAAAGTGTCCTTGAACCAGATCTCAAACTGGCAACATGGAGCAGCAAGTTAATACTGCTAGGTTTCATAGTTTAGAAAGGTCGGGAAGCACTGCACAAGATGCGGTGTATTTGTTAAATGCATCTCCAAAATTTCATTCAAATACACAGGGGTGAGTTAAGTAAAGAATATTATACAGTGGTCTGGTGAACCAGCAATCACTCAGTTATTATAAGTAGGGATGGGTACCGACATAAACGGTAGTAACCAGACCGAAAAGCAGCGCACATTTCGGTGCTTTATTTCGGTGCTTTTTTTTCCTGAGCTGTGATACACTTCTAGCCAATCATTTTACGTTTCCGAGGATAGTAGGCAGGGCCAGGTACGTACGTTCTGTTAGAGCAGAGCTACAGATTAAAAATGCCCAAGGCGAAGCGGTCAAAAGTCTGGCTGTACTTCACAGCAAAAGATGCAAACTCAGCAGCAACAAGTGCTTTAAGCTGATACTGTGATACTGTCAAAGGAGACACCAAGAATCCGATTAAACAGCTGGCGACGCATAGCGTTTTTTATAAAAGCCGAGAAATGCGCCGTATTTGATAGCTTGCTGCGAGACCTCACACCGTGCACGTCGGGTGGGTTGCCAGTTATCGGACCCGGAGCAACATCCCCCAAAACCCCGAAGAATAGAGTCCTGGCCCCTAGCCCTGCCAGTGTAGCAGAAATGATGAGGATGATGATGCAGCAGCAGCTGTTCTTCTCTGCGTGAGTAGCTTAATGTTGTTCTTGTGTGATTTACTTTGAGTAGGCTAACCACGTTATTACATTAATGCATGTAAGGTGAACTAGCAAACATCATCATAGCTACATGCGGCTGTCTTCTTGTTTGATGGCAGATACTCCCTTCACCCTGGCCAAAAAGGCTAAAATGACCAAAGAAGAAGTGGAAAACAGTTAAACATGAGAGGTTTTTGGACAAAGTTTATGTTTTTTCCATTGATTAAGCACTGCTTCCAGCCAAGAGTGATACCATGCCACATAGCTGCAGAAAAGGCACACATTGTTATCTTTTTACAAAAAAAACCAGCTGAACATGAGAGGTTTTTGGACAAAGTTTGTGTTCTCCATTCTTTAAGCACCGGTTCGAGCACCGTTTAAGCACCGGCACCGTTTCAAAAGTACCGATTTGGCACCGGTATCGGATAAAACCTAAACGATACCCATCCCTAATTATAAGGTTTTTTTTAAAGCAAGAAGCTTTAGCAGAAAACACTTTTAACTCCAAGTGCTAAGGTACCTGGCTTCTGGGTCTGAGATGATGGAGTGGGGTGCATCTTTGCATCTCTGCTGAAACCGTCCAGGTTGCCTTTGATTGCCTCCAAGGCGTCATCGCGGCTTTTCTCCCCCGTCTGAGCGCAGCACAATTGGGTATCGAGAGTCCAGAGGGTCAGTAAAACGAGCAGTGGACATGCCAGAAAAAACAAGGAGAACGAGATGTGGAGAGAGGCTCACCTTGGGTTTGACACTGCTGAGCAGCCTCAGCTTCTGTTTCTGCTCCTCAAATTGTCTTCTTTTCCTGTCTTCCTCCAGCATTTTCTGCTGCTGCTCCAGACGTTTTCTAAAGGGCAAGAAGAGTACAGCATAATACATATGACTCTTAAGAAGGATGAGTGCAAAGGAAGCTTGTTAAAACAGCAGCTGAAGGTTCGTGTTGTCTGATGGAAGTTTGTAAAAACATTTCAACATTTCTCAGTTCATTCGGTTCATTCTGCGGTTTACTTATCTTATTATAGCTAGACTTACATTTTATCACTTTAACCATTTTACATATAAACTTGTGGATTAAGTATTTCTCTGCATTTTTGCCTGAGAGGAGAAAGAAGGGAAACGCAAATCCAAACCTATAATTACAAAGTTATGCTCTTAAAAAAATAGCACAAATAATATTTAAATTCCTAAGCAACGGCCTTGAAGTAAAGCCGAAACTCTTCACTTTATACACTTTAATCGTCTCTTGAGTTATTGCGATGGTGTACAGAGGCAAAATTGTGAAAACTGTGTCGTATTTATATTTTACTATTGAGATACAATGGGCAGATTTAACTGACAGAAAATGATGAAAATAAAACAACTTACTAAAAAAGAGAAGGAGGATCTATAAAAAAAATATTAATGATTTATTTATTTTAATGGAGAAGAGGACCAGAAAGCTATCAGATCAGGGGTCAGCTAAGAGCAGCAGCCCTGGTGCTTAAACTGATTCAGTGTGTTAGTTTTTGTTCTGGAAAATAATCTTAAAAGGATCAAAATCCACAAGACACATTAGCCGTGTGGTCTGTGAGGCTGTACTTGGACACAGTGCTCCATTAAGATAAGCAATAAAGGCCAACCTGACATATTGCACGTTTTTTCCTGACAACAAAAATGAGATCAATGTTGTTGTGATTTGGCGCTACATACAGTCGTGTGAAAAAGTCCTTGCCCCCCTTCCTGAAGTCCAATTTTTTGTCTTAAATCTTTCAGATTATCAAACAAATTTAAATATTCGATAAAGATCACGCAAGTAAACATAAAATGCAGCTTCTAAATGAAGGTGTTTATTATTAAGGGGAAAACAACCAAACCCTACAGCTCTGTCAGAAAAAGTGACTGCCACCGCCTTGTTAAATCTGTGATAAGCTCTCTTATCCGATGCTGTGGCTTGACCTTAAAAAGGCGGTTCATGCTTGAAAACCCTCCAATGGGGCTGAATTACAGCAAGTCTGCAAAGATGAGTGGGTCAAAATTCTTTCACAGGGCTGTAAAAGACTCACTGCCAGTTATCGCAAATGCTTGATTGCAGTTGTTGCTATTAACGCTGGCCCAACCAGTTATAAGGTTTAGGGGGTAATAATTTTTTCACACATGGCCATGGAGGTCTGGATTTTTTCTCCCTTTAATAATAAACACCTTCATTTAGAGACTGCATTTTGTGTTTACGTGCATGATCTTTATATTTCAATTTGTTTGATGATCTGAAACATTTAAGTATCCAAAAAAAAAAAAGGACATCAGAAAAGGAGCAACCACTTTTTGACACGACTATAAATAAAATTGAATTGAAAATGAATTTATTTGAATGTATAAAGATGAAGCCAACATGCTGATTTTTATTTGGTATTAACATGTTAATATCCTGTATTGTGTATTTATTTTAGTGAGACAAGATTATTTGCATGTTTGACTGCTGCTCCCCCCCCGGTTGCCCCCCTCCTCTCTCTACTACTCTCTTGCTTCATATTCTTCTTCTCCTTCACACACTCACATGCACTAATTAGCACTACATACAGTACAGCTGAGGCAGCTGGGAATGTCATCAGCTTTACAGGTGTTTGGACAAATTTAAACTGTGCCCTGATGGCCTTTAATGCAAAGTTCATCAACTGATTACAATTCATCATGACGGGTACATGAATCTGTGAACCAAATGTCATGGCAGTCCAACCAAGAGTTTTTGTGACATTTCATTTAAAACCACAAATGTCAACTTGTCAACGGGACCATCTAGGTTATTAGGACTCATCTACGGAGGACCAACAGTGACCGCACAATCTACAGTTTGGGGCTAAAATAGTACTTGTGAGACATAAAACAAGGATTCACTTGGTTCCTTTAAATGTAACGTGCAGACATCGCATTTGAAGATGCATCAATCTCTCAAGTGTACAGTCACACAAATCTAAACATTTAGAAATCAAAAAATAAATAAGTAAACTAAAGTGCAGGGAAAAGTGTGGTTTCTTTTGCAGTGCTCAAAGAAGCATTTAGACACTTTACTCCAGTAAAATAAGCAACAACACATGATTAAAACCCAACCCAGTATCCATATTCTTTAAGATGTTTGGAGTGCTGCTGTGCTGTGAGAAGATGTTGAAGAAGTCCATTTTTCAAGAGCTTTAAAAATCACCTAACTTTATGTTGTCAGCTTTGTGATAATGAATTTTCCAGCTAATCCAAGAGGCTTTACAGGGTTAGTGGGTTAGGGTTTGGGGGATTATACGTCCTAAAAAGTAGCAGAATGCTCTCAGATGGTAAACTCAGATCTTTCAGTGTATTTGGGGGAAAAATTACCTAATTTGGACACTAAGGCTCTATTAAAAAGTATGAGAAGTAACCAGAAACTGAAGTTGACAGAAAATTTGAATGTGTTAAAGGGAAGTTTATTTTCCACTGCACTGTTTTTTAAGCTAGCTGCTTACTTAAACTTGATCTACACAAAGAGGAATTATAATGGAGGTGTAAAGATGACTTACTGGTGCTCTTCAGCCATCTGTTTCTGCATGTCAGCCGTGTACTGGGGTCCTGCTGGTCTCATACCCATAAACTGTGGCTGACCCAAGAACTGCATCCCAGGGGTCTGCATCCCAATTGCCATTCCACCCTGTTAGACCCCCACCCCCCCCAAAAAAAACATGCAACAAACTATTTAGCATTCCTGCTCTGCTCGTGTGATTATCAAATGCTTTAACCAAGGGAAAGCAAAATGTTAATGGATTAAAGTCTTGTTAAACATCACCAGGCAACAATAAATTCCTGTTAATGTGCTGGTGTTTAAAACTGTTTGTGGAGAGATTAACATGGAAGCAAATGAGTTCAAGAGGAGCTGTAAAGCCAGCCTTCCACATGAGTGAAATCAGTTAAATCAATACAGCAGTGTTTCACTACTATGTATGCACCAAATGCAGCCAAATTAGCAAGTTCACTCAAAATACTACAAGAGAATAAATAAATACATAAATAAATCCTCAGGGAAATATTAATTTGACCCCCGCCTCCCAAAAAACACATGCAAACACAGAACCAAGCACAACATATAAGAAATAGCGCTGACCTGCATAGGGATGGCACCTGGGGGCATCTGGCCTCCAAAGTTCATTCCCATCATGCCCTGCATGTTAGGCTGCATGACAGGAACCATGGGGAAGCCCTGCTGTTGCTGCTGCTGCTGCTGCTGTTGCTGCATGGGTACCATGCCTGCAGAAACACACAAACTCTGTTATCACATACTGTAGACATGGTTAAAATATTCTATATGTAACATGTTTATCATGCTTTACTGAATTTATTGAGTTTCTTTTACTCTCTTTTATTGTATTACATTCAAATTTTTACATTGCATTTTTTCCTGGTACCATACTGAGATGCAGTTTCCATTGTTACTGTTTTGTATTTATTTTAATGGTTTTATTAACTGATAGCCTTGATTCTTACTCAGTGCGATTCATGTGAAGTTGATTTGGCTACTTTTTTTTGATTCACGGGTCTTGTAAAATCAATTTTTACAAGCCTTCTAGTAGTTTTTCTTCATATTACTCTCTTGCCAACAGAGAATCTTCACCAGCTGATTGCACTGACAGTTTTACTGCCTGGAGCAAGGCCTGTAAGACCGGAGAAGCTACATAGAAAACAGTAGATTTGGAGGTCTTCCCGCAATCATCATGGGGAATGTGAGGCGTCCGCAAAATAATATGGAGTCTGATTTATCGAGCTCTTCATTTTTTTAAATTTTTTTTTTTTTTT